ATCAGTTACTTATTTTCTCATAAGGAATAAGGATTTGTCAGTCCTTGACGTTTTCAAGATAGATAATGGGCCATTAAGACGTCTTCCATAAAGCGTATGGAACAATCAAACACCTGCCGTAGCATTAGGGACTTCCCGGTAGGCCCCAAAGTAAGTGTTTCTCCCAGTCTTGTGAAAATTCTGTAATACAGTCAAAAGTCTTTAATCCGGACTCGTCGGGACTTCGGCGATTCCGGATTATCGATTTTTCCGGATTATAGATCATCAGTTTAAATCTGGTAAGATGGCATGCAGAGATTATAAAATAAAAAATATGAAACCGTAATTTATGAAAGAAAGAACAATTATGATCTAAAGGGTATCAAAAATTTACAAAAATAAAATAAAAAAAAACAGCTTAATATTTATTTGTTTACTTTATTAAACATTTCTTTCAACGCGCGCATGCGTAAAGCATACATTATGCATAGTCGAAATTAGAAAATTGCAACCAGAAAACTATTTAATGTGTACTCGTGATATTTATAATGACCAGGAATTTGATTTAAATCATGTCAAAGACGGAATACATCGAGATGAAATACTACATTTAATAAGGAATTATAAGCTGAATAAAATAAAAACATCTGCCCTGAAGATAAGGATAGTGCTGACAGATCAACTTCCAGTTCATTGCGCGCCGCGACGTCCCCTCTCCCGCAGAGCAGGGTGAAATTGATAAACAGATTTCGGAATGGTTAGAAAAACAAAGGATATGCCTTTATCCATTTTTTTTGCAGCAATTCCACTTTTTGTTTGATGGACATCGAAACATACTTTCGCTTTGTAGATCCTTTACATATTAGTAAATATATATCGGAAATTCTATTTGACATAATCGAAAGTTCAAGCTTAATTTTATAAAATTGCTCTAATAGTCTGCAAAAAATAATAAGACGGATCCAATTCGAAGATTAAGGAACAGCGCAGTCTGCAACATTAACTGAAATAGATAATTAGATAATTTTAGCTTAGCTTATACCGTCCGTTATACATTAAACGCGCATGCGTAAACGTATTATGCGCATGCGCAGAAAGCTTGTAGCTTTTGAGGTCCGGATTATAGATCATTCCGGATTAACGACTTTTGACTGTATGTCATTCCCTTCAAACAGCATTATATCTTTCTACACCGCCATTTGAAATTGGAGGGTAAGGAGTCAAGAACCTTAGGGAAGATCCTACTCTTTTCAAAAAGTCTAGAGTCAACGGAATGATTAGTTTCTTGAGAGAACATTCTAGGAGATTCCAGTGCGTGTATAGATCAGCAATAATGCATCACATGTTGAATTTGCATTAAGATTCTTCAATGGTACTGCTTCTGGCCCTCAGTGGTACTGCTCAACAGCACACAACGCATATTTATAACGTGGACAGCTTGGTTCTACAGATCTGATGATATCCAGATTTATTACCAGTAATGGTTCGTTAGGAAGTGTGGCTGACGTAATAGGAACTTTATCAAAAGGGCGCTTTCAGCATGAAGTTGACAGGAAGTACAATTGTTGCAATATTCATTCATATCTTTCTTGATTCCAGTGCCTTAGAAGCAATACCTCAATCATTCGGCAGTCTTCTTGGTTCCAAGGTAAGCTGTCCATAAGCTAGAATAAACTAAGTCCGTAATTTGTCTTCATCTCTCCTTTGATAACAATTAACTGGTGAACCCTTTCTCCTAAATTTTATCTTTGTAATATAAAAAGTTACCAATAGCAATTAAAGTATTGCTTCCAATCTTAGCATCTTGCCAGCATGCTTGTAAAAATGGATCCAAAACAGAGCTGTTTTGTTATGTGCTATCTTTCGAATCATCCTTATTGTCTTTTTATGTAACAGTGCACAACATTTTATCGTTTTCTTAACAGTTTGCTTACATTTTTCATTAATAAGGTCTTCTTTATCATAGTTAGATATTTCTTCAGCATCTTCAGTTTCATAAAGCAGCATTTCAACCAAACTGTCATTAATAATGAATTAATGTTTACGATGTTGCATACAAAATTAAACTTTCATTTGTTATCGCCATTTAATTCATTAAAAGCACTTAGTGACAGAAGTTGACTTAACGACACTGCACAAGTTATGAAAATAGGTGATTTAAATTTATTATCTTCATAATACTTCGATAATGATAATTTAATGAGAGAAGCTTTTGAAGTTTGTCCGAATGCTAGCATGACAACACTTCCATGTGGTGAGCGATATTTGTCAGATGTAATATGAATCTTCTTGACAGCAGTTAATTGCGCACCTGTATCTTCTACTTCATTAATTTTAATTTACCATCAGTTTAACAGTCGGTAAGTCATCGATTAATCATTTTTAGCTTCTTAATTTACATTAAATTGCTTAGAAGAAATTTTTGTGGTTACGGCATTATAATTATTGTTAATTTCTTCCTAATTAACTTTTTCTTATCTTCGTGCTACATAATGTAATGTCACTTAGAACTACATTTTGAACATTTCAGCTGAGAAGGGAAATTTCTTGTTCTGCAATTCCTTTCGAAACAAAGAAAGCACCAATTAGAATCTTTTAAACACTTTTCCTCTTTATGGTGACATAACACACTTTTCCGAAAAGTGATCTTCGCTTCCACAGAATAAACAAGAAAAAAGTCGAGCAACTGCAATTTTGTTTACGTAAGGAATGACTGGCATCGATAGTCACATTGGCTTGAAAAAATTAACGTACGTGGAAATTGTTTTCTTTCTTCTAGAGGTAAAATGAAATGCACTTCAGGCAAATTTGCATAACTGTTAGAGCAAGATAAATTTTTTCACTCAAGGTTTTTCGTGACTTTCGATCTCCAGCTTTAAAAAATTAATAAGGTTATCTACATTAAAATTTTCCTTATTTGCATTTTGACGAGCAAATTCGAATGCTACGTCTTCAGGAATACATTTCGTTAATAAAAGATAAATTTTCGTCTGATTCAGTTTTGATTTCTAATGAGTTTAGTGATTTTATTTGTACGTTACATGTATCATGTAATTTTCTCAAAGCATGAATATCATTCGATCTTCGACACTTGTAAATTTAATAGTTTATACATGTATGAATTATAAAGGGATCTCTCCTACCAAATCCTTCCTTAGGAATTTTAAGCGCTTCGTCATAATTCTCTGGGATAAAGAAAATCCTTCGACAGTTTTTAAAAAGTACACAACCTAACAAACTAAGCAAACAATTAAAACTTACCAAATTTAAATGGCTTTTCATTTTGATTTCAGCCGTATCAAAAGTATTATAAAATGCTTGCCACACCTCAACTCTTCCATAAACTTTATTAATCATAATTTTTGGCAATTTAACATTGTAATCTGAGCTTCTATTAATAACACCAGAAATAGAAACATTATTTTTATCTTGAGAAGAACAATTAGAAGCTAGTGAATTATTAACATTTTTTTAAATAATTTTGTGCCTCTTAATCTCCATTGTGCAGACTATTTTTTTGTATTGCAGGGCATTTTCGATTTCAGCTTCAATGTCATTTACATCAGTTAAATTTCTAATTCTTTCATCTAACGCTTTCAAAGAAACAGCTTTTACATTTAAAATTTTTAATTGTTCTTCTCTACCTTTAATATTACAAGAAGCAAATACAGATTCAATAGAACCTGTTACTTTAGCTATGGCTAAATGAATATCTTTTCGTTCTTTCTTAAGTTTCGGAAGTTCTGCTTCAGCCATTTGTCCTACGATTAAACTTAAGCTCCCAATGAAATAAATTAAACAAAATAACTTCTTACCTTTTCTGACGAATCACTTACACTTTATACCACTTCTGACACCACTATGAGGCTTTCAACGTATTGTGCGTTCTTTGCGTCTTAATATAGACGTGATGGGGGCATTTTAAATACACATAAAGAAAGACATTTACGACTAATTTTTCACAAAAACCAAAAATTGAAATTTATTATCGATAAATTTCAAAAAATCCTTTAAATGTAAAATATTAATTCCAAAAATGTTAAAAAAGAAAATTAAAATATTCTATCACAAGCAAAATCAAAAATAAAATAAAAAACATAAAAGAACATAAAAGAAGAGGAATCCAATCAACTCCGATATAACATCGTCAGGAGGAGAATACATCGGACTCAGTTACAATTCCTCTTTTTTGGAAGAGGAATTGTAATTGCTTCCTCCTCCTGACAACGATATATCGGAGTTGATTGGATTCCTCTTCTTTTATGCTCTTATGTTTTTTTTTTTATTTTATTTTTTGTTTTGCTTGTGGTGGATTATTTTAATTTTCTTTAACATTTTTAGAATTCTTATTCTACATTTGAAAGATTTTTGAAATTTATTAATTATGAATTTCAGTTTTTGGTCTTTGTGAAAAATTAGTTCTAAATTTCTTTTTTATGGATTTGCTAAGCAATTTTCATCTGCATAATGCACGAAAATACTTGGAATTATTGTATTTTTATATAAAAAAATTGTGTTTCTGTATTATATATATATATATATATTAAATAAAGTTGATATCATAACATTCTGACTTATCGCGTAACATGTATGCAATTTAACAATGCAATGAATCTTCTCATAACTCACATTTCCCTATAACGACCAGCTCTAAAAATGCTTTTCTTCACAAATTTAATAAATATCTGAGAATATAAATTAATATTGGTATCGAACATTATCTCTCTGAAAAGACCTCAGATTGATTTGAATAATTGTCCCAGATGAGATAGAGAAAATAATGACGGTACGTATTACAGTCACAAATTAGGAGGATTGGAAAGACCTTTAAGGACCTCTTATAAAGTGACAGTCTATGTTAAAATCGATATAAGTACATAAGTATAAACTAAGCTCTATACTGAAAGTGAAAGTTTTCAATAATGGAATAATGCCAGTAATGATGAGAAAAACATTAAATAAATTACCTACATGACAAGTATTATAAGAATGCTGTTAACGCTTGTATCCACTTTCAGCAGCAACCGAGCGCCAATTGCAATTCTGGAATGCATGGAGGAAGGTCTTCTGCCGAGTGAGAGCTCAATGGCAACAATTCCAATGAGTCGCCAAGTGTCTCTTTCGTACCCTGCTGCCATGAAATACAGGTAAATAAAATGCATTTCCATGGTCTTTTAACTGCGACATTTTCATTTAAATAAAATATTTATCTTTACGGTGCAGATTCTACTGAAATACGAATTTCAATGCAACAAAGTCTTTGCAGTGTTTTATCTTGAACACAGTGAAAATGAACTGCGCGGAATACTGATTTGAAAAGATTATTTTAGTGATTTATTGATATAAAAATATACTTTCGAAGTGATCTAACACATGAATCTGCAGACTACCAGCCTGGGAAAAAAATAAAATAAAATAACATAAAAAAATTACCGTATCTGTTTATAAAGTCTAGGATTGGAGAATATACTCAACAAAAGGAAGCAAGTGTGCCTTAAATTCGATAATTGACTGCAGGAAATGCAACTGAGATTCCTGCACGCCACTTTCAAATATCTGCCGGCCGGCTAGGGAGTGGCAGTGTGGTCAATGATATTATACTGATTGACGTTGTATTGATGTTGGTCATGATTACGTTTTCGATCCTTGAAGGATAGTGGCAGTTAAAATTTTTCTATCTAACCTAAAGAAGAAGTGTCCAAGTTGCCATTTCTACATACTATTTTTACTAGATTTAAGCTGATGATCTAAAATGTGGAAATTTCCGAATCGAGAATCGTCTAAGTCCCAACGATTCTGGATCTCGGACTTTGTACTGTAGTAATTTTTAAGGCTATTTAATATTTGTGTGTGAACAACAGCTTGTTAATTTAAAATACGATCTTAAGCTGCTCAGAATGAACCCAAGAAATTAAAAATGAAGTCTGTAATAATAAAATATAATGCAGTTGATTTTTTACTCAACAGTTATTTTTCCTTAATTACAGAATTTAAGTTAGAAAAGGGCAAGTTTAAATTCTATGATTGATCAAAAAAATTCTAACTACGCAGGAAATAACAATTATTATCCTACTTAAAATTTAATGTTTAGAAAGCAAAATTTAACAAACTTGTTTTCGCTCTTCCCTTTAAGCGCTAAGGCCGTATATACGGCCTAGAATACTTTTTTGATATCTGTAAGAACTTATATATACGTGCATATTAAAATATGTCGAAGAAATTAAAGCAATATATCAAAAGAAAACAAATCCAGTTATGAAATACCAGGAGAGTTTTTACATTAAAATCAAAAAAATAATTTGTTCTCATAGTAGTTTTGGAAAAGCGAAGACCCTGGCCGCTCAGAGGGTTAAAATAAATATACCTGAACAGCATTCTGAAATAAATATATCTCACAGATTTGTAACGTAATACTGCCACCTGTTAAAACAAAATAAGAGACAGGGAAGGATAAAATTATTTTATAGTAAAATTTTCTTTTTTCTATAATTCCAAACTGAGATGAAATTCATACTGATCTTCCCGCACTTTATTGCAATAAAGTGAGAATTCGGTTCTTGTCAATAAAAACCATCTTTGATAATATTAATAAATTTTATTTAGTCTTTTGAAAGCACAAACATATGACTCCTCCAGCTTAATAACTACTACTTTTTTGTTTTTCTGAGTCTAATAGTAATGTAAAACGAAATTGTAGATCAAGTTCGAATCAAATTGATAATCAAAAAATGAGATGCAAGACCTGGAGGGTTTTCCATAATTCTAATTAAACTTAATATTATACATATATACATAATGTAGGTTAAAATGCCTAAATCGAATATCAACGCTTAAAAAGCAAGAACTGAATAGTTTCATCAAAAGAATCTAATAATCGAATTAAACTGCGCAATGCAGTTCGAACTCTACCCTCAAGAAGACTAACTCAAGCCATGTGTTCAGAAAGGGAAGCGTTAAGTAAGCTAATAGATGGACTTCTAACGCCATCTCTTGACGATATCAAAGAATATTCCTTAACACACTCCCCACCTGAACTCCGACAAGAGTTCATCTAATTGAGTTATACATACAATCATGTACATAAATCATTATTCTGTAAAACACAAAAAATTCTAATTAGTCATAAACTTCAATCACGAAACAGATTATACACAACATTTATCAATTAATAAATGTTATAACGAATAAATGAACTAAATTTTTTAAAATATTTTCAACTTAGTTAAACAAACTTAAATAACGATATTCAATTTAATCATTAATAGGAAAGGAAAAAAAGAAAAATGCATAACAAAATCGTTAAAGTTCAAAATATTTAAAGTTAAAGATGTTTTAAAGTCCCATTACCAGTTTTTAATTCGAATGATTGGACTTTACCATCACGTCCAGGAATAGTTTTTATGATTCTGCCAAGTTTCCATAATAGTTTGTTTTTATTGTCTCCTTCAACTAAAACAACATATCCTACTTTTACTTCTGGTTGAAGTTTCGGATTCTTCAAGAAATGCAGTTCTAGATCTAATAAAATATTGTTGCTTGTTGCTTCCATTTGCACCACAACTGTTTTAACAGCAATTCTCGATAACGCTTTCTTTTTAACAGCGTTTCTCTTGTCGGTTCGCTACTGATGATTCTAGCAAAAGTAAAAGGATACTTCAGATCAGTTTCTCCAATGTTTAGGAAGTGCATTGGAGTTAAGGGTTGTGGCTCCTCATTGTCGTTGTAAACGTAACTTGGAGGTTGGGAATTAAGAACTGACTCTACTTCGACAAGTAGTGTAGACATATCTTCGAAGGTCAACAATGCTTTCTCTATGATTTTTCTTAAACATTCTTTAACAGATCTGACAAGTCTCTCATAAAACCCTCCCCAACCATGGATCTCGCTTGATTTATAAATTTCTAATGCATTCTTTCTTTGGCAATCAAATTCTTGAATTTGTCATCTTTTAAAACCTTTTAAAAATCCTCAAGTTCTTTCCTTGTCCTCTTAAAGCTCTTGGCGTTGTCAGAATAGATGACGCAGTTTCCTCTTCTGCTCAAAAATCTACGAAGTGCAAGTAAAAAGGATTCTGTTGACATATCTGATACAAGTTCTGAGTGTACAGCTCGGGATACTGCACAAACGAACACTCGCAACGTATGCAAGAGATCCAGGATTCTAATCACGGCGAGGGCCCTGAACACTTTTCTTGCTTCAAAATTTCTTGCTTCATTTACATTTCTTGCTTCAAAATAACTAGTGGCTCTACAAGTTATCAATTTGCGTTCATACCACCAGCAAAATATTTATTGCATTAACTGCCATAATGCGTTCCAAGAAAATCTGATAATTTGTTAAACGAAGTAACTGAAGGCTATATGCCTTGGGATATTATTTTCTGGAAAATTTTCTAAAAGAAATTATGGCATATGTTTACATTTCATTCAGGAAAACCCGCGAAAATCTGTCCTTAAAAGTATTCTTCTTAGAATGAAGCTTTATAAGCAGTATACTATCCGAATTTTGAACAGAATTTGAAATGTCTCAGAGCACATTCTTGCGTGGTTCTGCTAATTCTCCTCAACTGCATACATTTCCGTAATCACAGTTTAACTTATATGTCGCCGCATAAATAGTTGTGACAAAAACTCAGATCATCGTTAAGTATTTAGATGGAAACATGTAAACAAAGTAACCGGTTTTACTTCCTTGTACGAAGTAAAAGGAAGTATTTTTATTCAATCTTTATACTATCAGACAGCTTCCATACAAGTTTCTGCGAATTTATTCGGTGCGAAATTTACTCAAAAATAGCCACTTCCAAATTAGAAATATTTTTGCTTAATTTTCCGTAGTAACGACTATGAGGGAAACAGAAAATATACTGATAATGATTCTAAAACGCGTTGGATAGGGAAAAACAATCAAAGCTTGAATGTTTTCTTCAATGGCACGAGTGCGTTCACTTAAGTGAAGTACCTGATAATAGACCTATTTATAAAACTCCTCTTTAAAAAGCTTTTTATTTTGGGATATGTAGTCTTAACTTTAATATAAATAAAATAAAATTCATAAAAATGTCCTATATTTCGATTCGTCCTAAAATGGCCTATATTTCGATTTTAAATGAAAATGAGTAAATCTGAGAAATCATATGGAATTGATAATCATTCAGAATTTTTAAAAATTAGCTGAATTGAGTTTTATCAAAGCAGTTATATTGAAAACCGTTTTTGAGTTAAAAATAAAACAGAATAATTTTAATATAAATTATCTGCTGAAATGTCCCCCCACACACACCACCCAAAAAAAAAAAAAAAAGATTGGGGGAGGGGGGGAGTTCGTTCGAATAGAACGGGAAAATTTTTCATGCCCTGATTTTTTAAAAAGACTTTAACCACAATTCGGGAACTACAGGCATGACTGCTCAAGTTTTTCAGCTCATCCCAGATTAGTGTAATTATCTCTAATAACAGTAATACTGTAATACTTAATTGAACAGTAACAAAGATATTCCCTTCGTAGCTGATCTGTTACAACATAAACTATTGTAATGTAAGCTTATTACTATCCGCTTTGTTTACTTGTTGGAAAAAAAATTGTTGTAAAGCAGTTAAAAATAAAAGAGAAACTCCAGGCAATGTGTAACTCAATTACAAGTTTACTGTGATTATCTCAGTAACAGTATTATAAAAATGAAATCAGATAATGTTTAAATGTACACATAACTATCTTGAATATATCTAAGTATCTCATGTAAGGGTATTGTAACAGCTTTAAATATTATTAAAATCTTGTAGTTTAAATAATTTAAATAGATGAACATTAAGGTATTTGTGAATGGCAATATTTGAAACCAGGTTCGAGTGCCACGTGCGACTCTCGCACGAAGAATGTAATTTATTTTTAAATGTTAATATTATTTCTTCTTCTTGTTTTGTATGTCGCCATTTGAGTGTTAAATAAAGTTTTTTTCTGTGTTCCATCATTGGAGTTGCTTCATATTGCCAAAGAAGTATCACAGTCATAATTATTTTGGAGGTACCGACCGAGATCGAATAATCGTGCGTATTTTTATTTTATTAGTTCATCACTGAACATAATATTAGTGATACTAGATTATTACTTCCTGTTAATATTGAATTGCTTTATGTTAGTTCATCTC